TTTCATTCCTCTCTCGAAGGAGGAATGCAATGTAGACACACCCTAAAATATATAATAGAAAAGTGACAGCTTAAATTCTATTATCACACAACCCAACAAGATTTTTTTTATAGACCCAACATAATGAGGTCCTGATTGGGATACTAGGTTGCTACTGTAACAAGTGATTAATAACTTGCTTTTTGTTGTTCTGCTGTTTTAAAACTTATCATTCAGGCGGACACCAGTAACAATGCTATACAATGTACATAGCACTGTATATAAAAATAGTAAACCAGTCAGCAGTTCAACCATAGACTGAAAGTTCTGTTCAAACTACTCGGCAAATGCTTGTTCAAAAAATCAGGATCAGTTCATAAATGATGACCCCGCTTACAAAGGGGCTATCTGGAGTCACCAAATAGTTAATACTGGCTTATGTTTAGTGCCCTGTAAAAGGTTATAGATCTGAGGGTATGTCTATACTTGCTCCCTAGTTCGAGCTAGGGATGCAAATGTAGCCAATGTGTCCTTACCTCCTGTGAGCAAAGAAGAAAGAATGGCATCTCTGATCCTACTCTGTCCCTTCAGTATTCCAGCCTGAGATGAGAAAAGGGGGCAGCTGAACTAATAAAGACTGGGTCAGAAGTAATCACTAAACCTGAGGAGCGGGAGTGGGGCAGATGTGAAGATATGAGCTTCTACAGCGGAGGCCAAAATCACCTTTTCCAATAAATTTGGGAGAGCAGCCAACACTAATTGTCACACACAGTTGGGGCTGGGGCAGAGGAAATTTGAAAAAAAAAATCAGAGGACAGACAAAACACAGTACAGCTTTTAAAAAAAACAACACTTCAGGTGCATCTAGACTGGCAAGATTTTGCGCAAAAGCGACTGCTTTTGTGCAAAAACTTGCCAGCTGTCTACACAGGCTGCTTGAATTTGTGCAAGAGCACTGACTTTGTAATGTACAAAATCAGTACTTCTTGCGCAAATACTTTCCCGCTCCCACTCAGGGATAAGCCCTCTTGTGCAAGAGGACCAGTGTAGACAGCCACCTTAATTTTTTGTGCAAGAAAGCCCGATGGCTAAAATGGCCATCGGAGCTTTCTTGCGCAAAAGCGCATCTAGATTGGTACGGATGCTTTTGCGCAAAAGCACTTTTTGCGCAAAAGCATCCTTGCCAATCTAGACGCTCTTTTGCAGAAATACTTTTAATGGAAAAACTTTTCCGTTAAAAGTATTACCGCAAAATCATGCCAGTCTAGATGTAGCCGCCTTGTTTTAGATCACTTGAGGTTGGCAATATGAGAATCTCGTGTACTCTTTCATTGCTTTCCAGTAAGAGTTAGCATTGCTTACTGGAATATTGTTTCTCAAAAGGGTCAGTGTTTTGTATGGTTTCGGATATTTCTGAAGATAAAGCACTACTACTTCACCTCATAATCCAGCTTCAGGATGCTAACTAAAGGAAATTTGGCACCTTGATCCCAGCTCCAAGTAAGTATTACTCAACATTAAGGAAACTACCATACATACTTTGGAACAATCAGGAAGGACTGGCAGCTAGTGATCACAAAAATACTCTTAGGCCTGATCATTTTGCTTCTAGAAGTGGGCAACATTACGAGATCAAGATTGAAGTAACTGATGAGGCAGCCTGAGGTAGCTTTCTTTGGGGCTTCAGTGGAATGCCTGCAGATAAAACTTTCATTTTTATTGCAGTTAATCTTGTAAATATCACAAGTCAATACTTCCCTTTTATCTGAGGATGATTTCACTAAATAAAATTGTAAGTAGGAAACACTGAAACTACTGGATGCAGGGGGGGGCCATGGCTATAGGCTGACTCGGCTGTCGCCTATGGCGCTGCCTTCAATGGCGCCCGATGATGTCATGGGGCACCCGAGCACCTAATGATGACGTCACCCCATTGATGGCCCATTGACGGCCGTGCAAGCCGGGGCACCGATTGTGCGTTCCGCCTGGGGTGCCAGCTGCCGCAGCCCTCCTCAGGCCACTCCTATTGCATTAGACTCGGCTAGGTTAGTGCAGCCCGTTAAGCCACCATATCCACAGTAATTCCAAATATAACACACAGTTAACACATTTTCACTATAGCACGATTTTTTTTTAGGGAACGTTTTTTGAATTACATGACCGTCCCCAGAATAACACAATTTCTCCAGCCAGCCCATTGCCAGCGGCTGCGCGGGGCTTCTCCTGCATCCCTGAAAAGCGGCAGAGGGTTTGCCGCTTGCCACGCCATTCCCTGGCGACCCCCCCCCCTTGCTGGATGCAGTGCGGGTCCCAGCAGACCCATCACAGGGGCATAGTCCCAACCCAGTCCCCCTCCCCTCTCCTTCCCTTCTCCAGAGCCAAACACCTCCCCTCACTGCTGTAACCCAGTCCCCTTTATCCTCCAACCTTATGTCCTGGTCCCAACAGACACCACCACTTGAAACACAACCCCCCATGTTTTCCATTATTTTCAATGGGAAAATTGACCCCGCATAACATGTGTTTCAGAAAACGATCCTGTTAAGTGAAAACATCTATAGTGTTAAATGAGGAATTACTGTATTGACGATATTAGCCTCCTGCCCTTCAGGACTTTAAAAGTCCAAATAGTTCAACCTTCACTATTCACACTTGCCCCTCTGCTCCTCACTGCCAACCAAGTTGTGGACACCTAAACTCAGAAAAGGCTTATCCCACCCCAGAGACTCACCTCACTTGCAGTCCCAATACAACTTCCCACTGTGCTGCCACGTTTATTCAGCATCCTACCCCCAAATTAAATCTCCTGCTCACTAACATTGCGGCTACTCCCTTATAAATACCGCCCCTCTTCCGCAGTCAGCTCCTAGCAACTCCCAGGCAGCCTCTTACCCTTTGCCATTGCCAGCCCCGCTCCAGGCTCCCCGTTCCCCTAGCAACGCGTCTCAGGCACCGCCCCTCCCCCTCCAACGCGTGTCCCAGGCACCTCCCCTCCCCCGCAGCGCGTGTCTCAGGCACCCCCTGTCCCCC